GATTCATAAGTACCTTTTGGGGGGGAGGTCCATCGGAATGTCAAACAGTCACTAAGTGACTGCTCATAAGTCAAGAACTACCTCTATGTTGAAAACCCACAACAGTGACATAAAAGGTAAAGGTTCCCCTTGCACATATGTGCTAGTCGTTCCCAACTCTAGGGGGCAGTGCTCATCTCTATTTCTAAGCTGAAGAGCCAGTGCTGTCCGAAGACGTCTCTGTGGTCACTTGGCCGGCATGACTAAACACCAAAGGCACACGGAACACTGTTACCTTCCCACCAAAGATGGTTCAGATTTTTCTACTTGCATTTTTACATGCTTTGCAACTGCTAGGTTGGCAGAAGCTGGGACAAGTAACAAGAGCTCACTCCGTTACGCAGCGCTAGGGATTCGAACTGCCAAACTACTGACTTTTCTGATCGCCAAGCTCATTGTCTTAGCCACTGAACCACTACGTCCAGTTGGCATAGGGCTACACTATTACTAACCACATGTAGTCCTCAACGTATAACCACAATTGAGCCTAGAATTTATGTTGCTAAGTGTGGCATTTCTTGTGAGTTTTGACCCATTTTACGACTTTACTTGCCACATTTATGAAGTGAATCACTGCAGTTGTTAAATTAGTAACACGGAGATTAAGTGAATCTGGCTTCCCCATTGACTTTGCTTGTTAGAAGGTCGCAAAAGTAGATCACGCAACCGTCCCAAATGTAAAACAGTTGTCAAGCATCCGAATTTTGATCACATGACCACAGGGATGCCGCAATGGTCATAAGTGGGGGGGGATATGGTCAAAAAGTCACTTTTTTCAGTGACTTCAAACAGTCACTAAATGAGCTGTTGTAAGTCAAGGATTACCTAGCTGTACAGTATTCAGAGTGAGGCATAGCATTTTATTTCATCCATCAAATTGTTACTTAAGGTGCAAAATAAGAATGTTTCAGCATACCAGACGGAGAAGAAATGTCCCTACAAGAAAAGTTTGTATTCTGTCTCTCCACGATACTAATAAATGGATCCCAGACACAAATGACCCCCGAATGTCATTTCTTATGCAACATGATGCCATTGTCTCTATTGCAATACTGTTCCGGCTTCCATATGTGCCCCTCCATCAACAAATGCAACAGAAAAGGTTCCGTATCATATAGATCCAACAGGCAGCCACGAGCCGAGGGGATTTCTCTGGCAAGTCCCCAAGGACATTAGCCCACATGCTAGTTTAGAAGTCAAGTTAAAATCTTTTGAATGGGGAGAGCATAGAGCAAGTGGTGGGTGGGTGGATGGATAGATGGATGTATGGATGAATGGATGGATGGATGGATGGATGGATGGATGGATGGATGGATGGATGGATGGATGGATGGGAAAATGCATGCCAAAAGAAAAAAAGTGACTGATGCAAGGGGGAGAATGAGAAAAAAAAAGTGGTGTACAGATGGAACAAGATGAGAAGTTAAGAACAACGTATCTTTACCTGCTTTGGCTAGCATCTCAAATTCGGACACAGTCTCGCTGAGAGGCTGCATACCTTTAGAGGACGGCTCACTGCCAAAGGAGAATTCTTGGCTTTCGTTGGGGGACAAAACATGGGCATTACTCAGCCGAGTTGCCTTGTGGAAGATCTTAGGTTCGATATCCAGATTAAACTATCAAAGAAGGAAGAGAAAAACATACAGAGGAATTAATGACAGCATGAATAACGAGATCATATACAACTCCTCTGGCCCCAGGCCTGATTTTACTTATTAAAAACGTTTTAACCAATTACCACTCACCTGACCTCTTTGCAGGTTACAATACTGGTAGTCCTCATTTAGCAATGGCCAGAGATAGTGACCCTTTGCAAATGTGACAGTAATAAATGGTAATGAAAGATTCATTTTCCGCCCAATCCCCGTGTTAACGGCAATGTCAGCGTGAAACTGATTACAGTCTGGTCAGTTTCAGGCAGAAGTGACCAGCAGTTACAGTTCTAATCAACTAAGTTAGTTCACACAGCTGAGTTTGTGAACTTTAGGGAAAGGCTGTCCTGCAGAAATAAGCAGCTCAGAAAGAGGTAGATTGTATACGTAATCCCTCTGCCCTGTCCGAGGGCAAAAAAAGGAGGAGAAAAGGATCGGGCATAGGACATTGTCTCATTTGAAGAAAATGCCAGCAGGCTCTCTCTCTGTTCGCAGTCTCTCTCTCTTACATGTTCACTTAGCAACCATTTCACTTATTGACTGAGTCATCAAAACCAAATGGTTGCTAAACAAGGACTATTTGTAAAACATAGTAAAAGAGTGTAAAATCAAATACAGGTTAGTCCTTGACTTACAACCACAGTTACAACCCAAACTTTTGTTGCTAAACAAGACATTTCTCAAGTGACTTTCACCCCATTTTACGACCTCTCTTGCCACAGTTGTTAATTGAATCACTGCCGTTGTTAAATTAGTAACACGGTTGTCAAATGAATCTGGCTTCCCCATTGACTTTGCTGATCAGAAGGTCACAAAACGAAATCACGTGGACACTGCAACGCTCATAGATGTGAACCAGTTGCCAAGCATCCGAATTCTGATCATGTGACCCTGGGGATGCTGCAACGGTCGAAAGTCTGAAAAATGCTCATAAGTAACTTTCTTCAGGGCCGTTGTAACTTCGAATGAACTGTTGTAAGTTGAGGTCTGCATACACAGTGGTACCTTGGTACTCAAAACTACTTTGAAATTCATTGAATTTAGTGCTCAACCCATTTTGACACAAACAATTTGCCCCGATACTCGTTTGTTTCATACTCAACATACAAGCTAGAACGTGTCAGTGTTGGCTGCCCTTGTGACTCACTATATTTTTCCTTAAAGGGAAAATATGTTTGCTACCCATTGTGCCTCCTGGAAGCAATTAATGATGAGTATCGAGGTACCATTATAAAATGCAAAATAGAAACACCACCTAAACTATTTTTCATTCAGAAAAGTGAACTATTTTTCATTCAGAGAACATACAGTATATCTCAGAAGTGAGTACACCCCCTCACGGTTTGTAAAATATTTAAGTATATCTTTTTGTGTGACAACACTGAAGAAATGACACTTGGCTACAATGTAAAGTAGTGAGTATACAGCTTGTATAACAGTGTAAATGTGCTGTCCCCTCAAAATAACGCAACACACAGCCATTAATGTCTGTGTCTTACATTGTAGCCAACTTTCATTTCTTCAGTGTTGTCACACAAAAAGATATACTTAAATNCTACCTACCTACCTACCTACCTACCTACCTACCTACCTACCTACCTATCGAAAGTCTTCCCTTTAATGCTTCTTGAACCTCCATGCATTTAGCTTCAATGGATGGCCCTGAGTTTTAGCACTATGAGGGGGGAAAGGTAAATTTATTCTTCTCCATTCAATCTATGCCAGGGTTTTTCAAATTGGGTTCCCTCAGCATTGTGGAGTGTTTTACTTGATGGATTCTTGACAGACCAAGTTCAGTCAAAGGCCAATTTTCCGTCAGTGGAATTTTACATCTTGATAGTTGTTTTCTGCCCCCAGATTTTTTTTTAAAAAAAATAACAGGTTCTGCAGCCTGTACAGGTTTGAAAAGCCCTCATCCATGCCTTGCCTGAGTCTACGTATCTCCACCACCTTTCTCCTCACTCTCCTTTGTAAAAAAAAACGGTTTTCCAAGAAGCTTGTTCAGAACAAGTCAGATCTTTTATAAATCCTGATGCTTCTGAATTGTCAGGATCGTCCTGCCACCCATAATTAGACATCACCCAGAATCTCTCCTGGAGGCCATAATTGTATTGTACATCACCCGGAGTCTCTTTTGGAGGGAAATGGGCGGTTCAGAAATGTGAAAAGTAGAATCCAGTTTTTAACTTAATCCAGCTGATTATTTGGGTAGAGTTCTTTCTCTGAGTCGAAAAGTAACCAGACCAAAGATGCATCTAGCCCAGTACAGGTAGTCATTGTCTTATAACCATAATGGAGCCCCCCTTTTTTTTTGCAGCGGTCATTAAGCAGACCCACTGTTCACTATGGGGCATTTTGACTGAAAATTGGATGCAAATGCCAGAGGGGTTTTTTTTTTTTGGTGGGGGGGGGGGATCATAAATTGCAATCACCCAACAGTCAGATGCTGCTGCAAATATCCAAAAATGTGGGCCAGTTGCCAAACACCCAAAATGTAGACATGTGATCATGGAGGCAATCAGACGCTATGAACTGATTCATAAGTACCTTTTGGGGGGGAGGTCCATCGGAATGTCAAACAGTCACTAAGTGACTGCTCATAAGTCAAGAACTACCTCTATGTTGAAAACCCACAACAGTGACATAAAAGGTAAAGGTTCCCCTTGCACATATGTGCTAGTCGTTCCCAACTCTAGGGGGCAGTGCTCATCTCTATTTCTAAGCTGAAGAGCCAGTGCTGTCCGAAGACGTCTCTGTGGTCATGTGACCAGCACAGTGGTGGGTTTCAAAAAAATTTCGAACCTACTCTGTGGGTGTGGGAGTG